AGACGGCTATGTCCGCCGGCTACGGATGCCGTCAACGTGTGCCGGCTTGGAAGTTTCCCGAGTTGTTTTTCGTGTCGGTCGTTTTGACTTTGGAAAATTGCAGGGTGTTCTTCAATTTCTAGAACAGTTTCCGTACTGGTTATAATAGCGACACCAGTCGGAGTTATTCGTCTCTCGTGGTCTAGAGACAGATCGGCTGCGTGAAGTGCTTCTTCGTGGAGTGTGTGACCGTTTACGGTCATTACGAAATACCAGATAACGTGTCAACGAATGACATAGTTCCATAATGTCATTCTGGGTTGTTTGAGGTTTTTCTTTGATTGAAGAAACCCTGACATTAGGAGATTTCGTGATTTCAGGGATGCGGTCGGAAGATGTAGCCAGCTCGTCTACGGTGTTGTTTTGAAAAGAGACCAGCACAGCTTGCACCTGTTGAGGAAATTTATATAAGAAAAGTTGTCGAAATATGCTGTCATCGAAAATTCTTTGGCCGATCACCTCTCTCATTCTTAGCAACATATCTGTCGCAGAACCATGTTACAAGTCAATATTATTAAGAAGTTGGTTTGACCTTTGTCGATCGGTTAGATCTCCGCGTCTAAGAATAGATCTATTAAGTGTTTCATAGGGTTCCGAAGCATCACAAGTAAACACACTAGGTGTGACGCAACTGTTAAATTCGCACGGAAGTGCCCTGACTACTGCGAGGAATTGTGCACGTATGTCGTACTGTTTGTGCTCGTAGAAGTCGGCTTCTGTGTGGCAGAACCAGGCTTCGATGTTGTCTGGCCAGAAGAGCATTAGTTAAATTGAAGGTAGATTCATAGTCTTTAACTCCAGTACATTGGGTGTCTGTTCCATCATGGTGAAATATCAAGTACGAGAATGGACGAGAAAACATATGTATGTATATCGAAAAACATGAGGAAAAATATCACAATATATGAAAATTAAAACAAAGCGATGGTATATAAAATCCCAAAAAGGAACAGACTCACAGTTTGCAAGTTGGTATAATCAGGCCACGTTGGGTTCACCAATGAAGAAGCCACAGGTATTTAGAGTTTGACAACGCTTTAACCAGTAACACCTATTAATATGAATCGCACCCACCAAGTGAAATCAAAGGACAGAAGCGAGGAGGTTTGAAGAGATAAGAGTATCCATTTGAATCTGGTAAAGGTCCTACCAAATCCAGATGAACATGTTCGAAACGAGCATTGGTAGTTTTAAATGAGCCTAAGGGACATTTATTGTGTCTGATGACCTTAGATTTCTGGCAGCTTACACAGGAGCGTGCCCACTCCCTCACGTCTTTAGTCATACCAGGCCAGCAAAACCGTGCTGCTATAAGCTTGATGGTTGCACGAACGCCTGGATGAGAAAGTTTGTACAATGTATTGAAGACATTGCGTCGATAATGTTTCGGCACGATTGGGCGATCCCTACCTGTAAATGTGTGACATAGTAAGGTTTCCTTACCTGCGTAGTTTAAAGGTTGTAGACGATAACTCGTGCTGAAGATCAGTGTCTTCTTTTTGAAGCTCGGCGAGTTTAAGAAGGTCGATTCCTTGGAAACTGTTCAAGGAAGTTATGCGCGAGACAAAGCGTCTGCGACTACATTGTTTGCTCCAGAAATGTGTTGAATGTCTGAAGTAAACTGCGAAATGTAGTCCAGTTGTCGAGACTCACGAGGTGAGTACTTGTCCGAAGAGGAGCTTAACGAGAAAGTAAGAGGCTTATGGTCCGTGAAAAGGGTGAATTCACGACCTTCGGTATAGTGTTGAAAATGCCGTACAGCACAATACATAGCTAGGAGTTCCCTACCGAATGTGCTGTACCTCGATTCGGTGTCTAGCAACCTTCTAGAGAAAAATGCCAAGGGTTGCCAGGAGTTGTTAACCCATTGTTGTAAGACTCCTCCGATTGCCGAGTCGGATGCGTCTACTGCGATGCTAATGGGTGCTTCGGTGTCCTGATGTGCGAGCATTGTTGCTTTAGGATCAGTTCCTTAACTGTGGAGAATGCTTTTCGTGCGGTGTCGTCCAAATTAATGGATTTCGCATTTCCACGAAGTTGGTCGGTCAGAGGTTTCATAAGTAATGCGCATTTGGGTATGAAACGTCTATAGAAACTTACCAGGCCGTTAAACGTGCGTAATTGCTTGACGGTGGTCGGTTCTGGGTAATCCAGAATGGCCGCCACTTTGGTTCTAAGGGGTCGGATACCTTGAGCATCGATAGTGTGTCCCAGAAAGTCTAACGAGTCGGTTCCAATTGGCATTTCTGAACGTTTACAGTTATGCCATGTTTTTGTAATCGTTCGAAAACAAGATCCAGATGCTTGAGATGTGTTTCTCTGTCCGGACTTGCGATTAGACAGTCGTCAACATACGCGTGTACGAAGTTGAGACCTCGAAAAACGTCGTCTATGAATCTTTGGAATGTTTGAGCAGCATTCCTTAGACCGAAAGGCATTCGCAAAAATTCATAGAGTCCGAAGGGAGTTATGATAGCTGTTTTCGGTATGTCGTCAGTAGCCATAGGGATTTGGTTATACGCTTTAACCAAGTCGATTTTCGAAAAGACAGTTGTACCTTTCAAGGTAGCTGTCAAATCGTGAATGTGAGGCAACGGGTAACGATCGGGAATGGTTTTCGCGTTCAATCGCCGATAGTCGCCAGTTGGACGCCAATCGTTGCTGTCCTTTTTAGGGACCATGTGCAACGGAGATGCATATGGGCTACTTGACGGTCGTATGATTCCTAAGTCCATCATGTGATCGAATTCGTTTTTCGCTAACCTTAGCTTTTCAGGAGCTAGTCGTCGTGCTTTAGAATACAGGTGGTCCTGTAGTCGTGATGTGATGTGTAACATTGCTGGTTACACACGGTAGTTTCGGTTGAGTTTGTTGTATCCCAGGGTACTTATCGAGTAGTGGTTGATAGAGTGGGTCTATCATATGCTTAACTGTGACTGGGGATACTCTACAACCAGTAAAAGAAGTTACGCAAACGGACAAATTAGTGTTTCCGTCTACTAGCCTCCGTTTGCGAGTGTCGATGATCAGATTGTGGTGTTGTAGAAGGTCCATACCAATGATTGGCATAGAAACATCTGCAACAACGAAAATCCAGTGGATGGGTTTGCGTAAACCCACGTTAAGGTAAACGTACCTTTTGCCATACGTAGCGATCGGTTTTCCGTTTGCCGCCTGTAAGTTTAGAGTCGATTCGTGAAGTCGGTCGTTAGGATTTGCTGGGAGAACGCTAACTTCTGCGCCAGTGTCGACGAGGTAGCGAACTCTCGTTGTCACATCTGTGACGAATAACAGACGGCTTTGTTCGCCGGCTACGGTTGCCGTTAACGCGTGCCGGCTTGGAAGTTTCCCGAATTGTTTTTCGAATCAGTCGGTTTCGTGTTGGGAAAATTGCAGGGTTTTCTGCAATTTCTGGAAAACTTTCCATACTGGTTATGATACCAGCACCAGTCGGGGTTATCTGTCTCTCGTGGTCTAGAGACAGATCGCTTACGAGAAATGCTTCTACGTGGTGTGCGCGATCTCTTACGGTCGGTACGAAGACTAAGATAACGCGTGAGTGTGTGACATAAGTCGGTTATGTCATTCTGAGTCGTGTGAGGCTTTTCTTTGACTGAAAATACCTCGGTAGTAGAAGGTTTCGTAATTTCTAGAATGCGGTCGGCAGATGCAGCTAGCTCGTCTAAGGCGTTGTTCTGGAACGAGACCAGAACTGCTTGCACCTGTTGGGGAAGTTTTGACAAGAAGAGTTGTTTGAATAGACCTTCGTCGAAAGTTCTTGGGCCTATAACCTCTCTCATCCGTTGCAACATGTCCGTCGCAGAACCGTGTTGCAGGTCTATGTTATTGAAGAGTTGATCTAACCTTTGTCGATCGGTTAGGTCTCCTCGTTTAAGAATCGAGCGTTTTAAGATTTCGTAAGGTCGGAAACATCACTAGTAAACATACTAGGTGTTACGTACCTGTTGAATTCCCGTGGCAGTGCCTTGACTACTGCGAGGAATTGTGCACGTGTGTCGTTCACGCCGTGCTCGGAGAAGTCGGCTTCTTTGGGTGTCTGTTCAGTCATGATGAAATATGAAGTACGATAATGAACGAGGGGAATATATATATATATTCAAGAAAAAACACGAAAAAGAATTACAATGTTTAAAAAAATAAAAAATAAGTCAATTATATATAAAAATCCCAAAAAGGAACAGACTCACAGTTGCAATTAGGTGTACCAGATCACGTTGGTCTCACCAATGAAGATAACACAGGTATTCAGTGTTTGACAACGCTTCTACCAGTAACACCTAATATGATTTGTACCCACCGAGAGAAATCAAAAGACAGAGTCGAGGAGATCGGAAGAGTGTATTTGGCGATGACCAATATATCGGAACTCTCTGATCTAATCTGGCTAGCGATTGCGGTTGATGTTGAGCACGGCGTTACCACACGTGATCTGGTGCGGATGCCTGACCGAGAGCCTTCAGCTAGATGAGTCCACTAAAACATATGGTCAGCATCCAATGTCGAAAACTTACAGGGCTATTTATTTTGGGGATTTATTTACCGCTACAAGCTTCAAATGTTGAAGACATAGAGCCATTGATTTTGGGGATTTATTTACTGCTATATGGTGATCTGGTGCAAATGCGTGATCTAGTACTTCCAACTGGAGTGTGTACAACGAAACTAATAACCGCAACATCAATGCTGTCTTTTTTGGGGATTTTTGTACTGCCAAAAGTCCCTGTAATGGCAACATTTTCAATACTACTATACTACCAACAACTGGAAATCCCTACTTTAATATTCTGCTAAACGTTCTTCGTGAGTCATGTTTCTGAAAAAAATGTCCATAACGTCAGAACTAGTCCATGTCTTTCAACCTTCAGAATCAGTAACCGGAGTAATTGTTTAAGTGTGTATCTTCATGAGTAGAAGATAAATTTCAAGGTTTATTATCAAGAATGGCCTCAAGGAATGATGGTATTCAGCTCCTTTTGCAAGCCGAAAAGAGTGCCAGTGAGAAAGTAAATGAGGCAAAAAGGCGTGAGTTAGTTTTAAATATCATTGCTGTCAGGTAAAAAAAGCCTATATTCCATCGATAACTTGGAACCCTTTCTGGAGGTTTGACCCAGTTGATTACTTGGTCACCATTTTGTTGCACCATTTGAGGTTTTGTAAATCAAATGCGTATTAGTTTCACTAGCCAGGCGACGTTTTTAGGATGTTCATTAACTCGTCAGTAACCTGGTTACGTACTAAAAACGTTTAAATGACAATGAGGGTCTTTTGGTATGGCCAGTGGGATAAGCTGTCATTTGTAGGGGTTCACAAGATAATACTTAAAAGCAAGATTTAAATACTTCAGCTAGTATATAGCAGTACAATTGTAGGTTTAAAAGGACAGTGGTATTTTTCCTCGCTGAGTAAATTTCATTGTTTTGATCGTTTATTACGTATCAAGACTACTGTTTTTCACTTTAATTGAATTTATTTCAGTTAAAGTATTTGACTAAAGTATCGTTTTTACTGTTTTGTCGTTGGTACTTTTTAGTACCTCTTTTTCAACTGTATCTGTTAGTACTTTTGGTCCTAGCAATCTACAGCTCTTCACTTTTTTTGGTCATTGATAATTTTTTTGTTTCTGGGTATCATCGCATATTGAAAAAACCCCTCCTAAATGACCGGACAGTGTAAAAAAAGCAGTTGCCAACGTCCGGGTTGTCGTTATGCTGTTGAAAGCGGCATGCAGTGCGACGAGTGCAAAGGCTGGTACCACGAAGTTTGCACGAACTTAACGCCTGCTGCTTTCAAACGGTTCAGTAAGAAGGGTTGTGTGTGGCTTTGTCAACAGTGCTGCTCGGATGCAAACAGCTTGTTAACCGAGGCCATCTCACTGGTTGATGCTGCAAAGAAGTGTTTCAACAAGCATAGTCGGAACGCGTCAAACAGCACTCGATCTGTTGACACGCAAATCAATGTGAAGGAAACTAAGGTGAGTCCGGTGATAGATGACTCACGCCCGTCAAAGAAGGAAAAGCAGTCTCCAAAGAGGCCTGCCTTAAAAAAAAGCTCAAGAAAAGTAGGGTCTTCTGTTCCCCGTCTCCCAGATGGGATCCAACAGGAAACACCTAGGAGCCGCAATCGCAAGGCTCGATCGGTTTCAAATGGTAAACATAACACGACCCCTCAGGTCGTCGACAACCCCCCAAAACCCAACACTAGGTTTGACGCAACTGCTATTGCTTCTACCAGCAGCGTTGACGAATGGGTAAAGGTTGTAAGAAAGAAAAGTATTGATATAAAAGGGAAACCTGCCCCCGTAAAAGTGGTTGAAAAATCGAAAGCTGATCATAGCGACAGATCAGCTATTTTTCATAGAATTAAGGAGAGCGATAGCTCTGAACCTAAAGCTCGTTTTGAGCATGACATTGTACTGATTAGGCAGCTGCTTAATCAACTCATGCCTCAAAATATGACCGGGGTCACCTTGCTAAAGGTGTACAGACTAGGGAGTCTAACGGACTCGAAACCAAATCATTCCAAACTGCTTAAAGTAGTATTCGGCTCTTCGAACGAACGTCACCTAATTTTACAAAATGGACACAAATTAAAGAGTTCAGGAGTCTTTATCTGAAAGGATCTACCGTTGGCAGACCGTCCCAATATATATATCGTCCCAATATATAAGAAAGGGTCAAAATCATCCTGTGACAACCACAGAGGGATTAGTTTAACAAACATAGTATCTAAAATACTGGCCTGGATAATTATCAAACGCCTAACTAAGACTCGTGAACTACAAACACGAGAGAACCAAGCTGGCTTTAGACCTGGTCGTGGCTGCATCGACCACATATTCACCATTCGTCAGGTTCTAGAACACAGGCATACCTATCGGCGTCCGACGATGGTGGTCTTTCTTGACTTAAAAGCAGCATTTGACTCTGTAGACCGCGAGACTCTGTGGCAGTGTCTGTCATTGAAAGGCGTACCTCAGAAGTACATAAACCTTGTGAAGGCTCTTTACTCGAACACTACTAGTCGAGTCAGGGCTTATGGCGAACTGTCATCTGCTTTTGCAACCTCAAGTGGTGTCCGTCAAGGCTGCCCACTTTCTCCATTTTTGTTTAACTTCATCATAGACCTATTGATGGAAATAACACTCTCGTCGACTGAATTCTCGGGTATTGATCTCCTTCCAGGAGGTCCACTTATCGACTTAGAATATGCAGATGACATAGTCCTGTTTGGTGAAGACGCTGACAAAATGCAGAGTCTTCTGGTAGCACTAAGCAACAATGCCAGAATGTTTGGGATGCGCTTCTCTCCCTCTAAATGCAAGTTGTTGCTTCAGGACTGGTCTGCGTCAACACCTGAACTAAGGATAGGGAGTGAAGTAGTCGAACGTGTTGACAACTTCACTTATCTTGGAAGTCTGATCAGCCCTAATGGGTTGGTGTCTGACGAAATCTCAGCACGGATTCGTAAAGCTCGATTGGCTTTTGCCAACTTACGTCACCTTTGGCGGAGGCGAGATATCCGTCTATCAATAAAAGGACGAGTATACTGCGCGGCTGTCCGTTCTGTTTTAATTTACGGCAGCGAAACATGGCCCTTAAGAGTAGAAGACACCCGTAAGCTACTAGTATTTGACCACAGATGCCTTAGAAATATTGCTGGCATCTGCTGGGATCACCGGGTAAGTAATAGTGAGGTTAGACGCAGGGTATTAGGGAATGATGGTAAATCAGTTGATGAGGTTATGAATCTTCATCGACTGAGATGGTTGGGCCACGTGTTACGTATGCCTGAACACCGATTACCGCGACGTGCAATGCTAACCGGTGTAGGGGATGGTTGGAAGAAAGTTAGGGGCGGCCAAACCAAAACGTGGCATCAGTGCCTGAAGTCACTAACTTCTAGTCTGAGCCATGTTGGTAGATGCAGACTACTTGGTTGGGGTCCGCGTGACTTTCGTAACCAATGGTTGGAGACCCTTGGTGACATGGCTCAAAATCGATCACAATGGCGTCGGTGTATACACTCTCTGTCTTTCCTTAAACTAAGAGATTAAGATCAGATCATATCTTTCTTTATACCAACTTATTCTTCCTTCCTGTACTATATCCTTATTGCAATCTTTCTCCTATATATTACCACCTTTGACCTAACCACTCCTATGAATCCGGTGTTCATCTTGCTGTGCTAATGAGGTATGGCAACCTGGGCCGATGCATACATGTGCCTGGTCCTACGTTGTAGCTGACTGACTGACTGGCAGACCGTGTTAAAAGACGGGAAGCCGAGAAAGAACTACAACATAGGTTAGACGCTGGCGAAAAGGACCTGAAAATTGTAAATTTTCGGGTTGTAAGACTTCGACAGAGAATGATGCCGAAGCCACTCTGGGTGAAGCACGAAGGCACTTAAACAGGCTTCGGATCTGTTACACCAATGCACGAAGCTTACTTAATAAGCGATCGGAACTAGGTGTACAGATTGACTCTATAAAGCCAGATATAATCGCAGTAACAGAAACCTGGCTGACACAGGCTATAGATAGTATAGAACTTGATTTCGAGGGCTTTACGTTAGTAAGGGCCGACAGAACACAAAAGCGCAAAGGAGGGGGAGTAGCTCTATTCATTAGGAATGCTATCCCATTTACCATTATCGATAGTGTATCCCATGAGAGTGGGACGTGTGAATTAGTTAGTCTTCGCTTAAAATGCAAGGGACAAGAGCTGCTGATTGGTTTGGTCTATCGCAGTCCAAGCTGTGAGGCAAATGAGATCCTGTTAAGCAGTCTCAATACTTGGTCCCAAAGTGGTCGATGTCTAATCCTAGGGGACTTTAATGCACCTATGGTAGACTGGGAAAATCTGCGAACTGAATCGTCAGAAAATTCCTTCGAGCAGGAACTAGTTGATGCGGTTATCACATGTGCCCTAGTGCAACATGTGAAAGAAGCGACTAGGTACGACCCGGACACTGAATCATCCTTATTAGATCTTATACTGACTCACTATGAGGATGATGTTGCGAACCTCCACCATATGCCACCCTTAGGTAAAAGTGACCACGCAGTTTTAACTTTCGACTTCCATATAACTGCCAGTCATGAGGACGCGTCAGTCCAGTCCAGACCCAACGTCTGGAAAGCAAACATACCAGACATCATGCACTCAGCATCGTTAATAGATTGGACAATAGACCCAGAGTCCTCCATTGAAACGGCCTGGGACGCATTTCGAAAATCATACTTAAAAGTTACCACACCTCACATCCCTTGGACTATACCAAAGGGGCCGAAAAACTCACCACCATGGTTCAGTAGGGAGGTCCGTATCCTTCTCCGTAAGAAAAGGAAAACGTGGGATAGATTTAGGTTACTGGGGACTGATGAGTCAAAATCTCAGTATCGAAAGGCTCGGAACACTTGTGCCTCGACCCTCCGTAAGTCTAGAAAATTGTACGAAGAAAAACTTGTTAAGGAATCCATAGAATGTCCTAAACGCTTGTATTCCTATATAAACCAAAGGACAAGGAGAAAAGGAAATATTCCTGCTCTATGGGGAGACAGTACTGCTTCATCATTAGTGGAGGACGACTTTGGTAAGGCTCAAGCGTTCTCGAACTACTTTAGCAACGTGTATACCATAGAAGCGCCCTTCTCGTCAGCGTATACAGATCCCCCCATACATACACTGGATAGCGTGACCATTAAAGAACTCGATGTCTTTGGTCTGCTAAATAAGCTTGACATAGGTAAATCCACGGGGCCCGATGAATTACATCCTAGGCTACTGAAGGAATTATCTAACTTCGTTGCGAACCCTTTAAGTACATGCTTTAACCTATCCGTTACGCAGGGTCGCTTACCGAAAGATTGGAAAAACGCCATAGTAAGTCCTGTCTTCAAAACAGGCACGAAACACAAACCTGAGAACTACCGCCCCGTTAGCCTAACTAGTGTGGTTGTTAAAATATTAGAAAAGATTATTCGGAAGGAGCTGTTTAAGTATCTCGATAAAAACCGGATCCTCTCGGAGAAGCAGCATGGCTTCAGAATAGGTTATTCTTGTCTCACTAACTTATTAGTGGCTCGTGAAAGCTGGTGCGCTCTTAAGGACCAAAAGCTACCTGTAGACGTCGCCTTCATTGATTTCAGTAAAGCTTTTGATAAAGTTCCGCACAACCGGCTGTTATATAAGTTAAGACATATCGGGATTGGAGGTAATTTATTGATGTGGATAAAAGACTTCTTAGTTGGGCGTCAACAAAGAGTAAGGGTGAACTCAAAGTTATCTAGCTGGGAAACTGTGCTTAGCGGAGTGCCCCAGGGTACAGTTTTGGGGCCAGTGCTATTCCTCTTGTATGTAAATGACCTTCCTTGTCTCCTATCATCATCGGTCTTGCTATATGCTGACGATGTCAAGATATGGAGAACGATACGATGTAAGAGTGATAGCTTAGAACTTCAAAATGACCTGAAGAAGTTATCTGAATGGTCTCAAACATGGCAGTTGCCGATAAATACTTCCAAGTGTGTTGTGATGCATATCGGTCATCAAGGCACAGATACATACACGATGAATAACACTGAGCTACCTGTCGTCCAGACATATAATGACTTAGGAGTTATCGTTAGTCAAGACTTAAAGACTACTGCACACTGCCGTGCAATAGCCGCCAAAAGTTTTAGAACGTTATGGTCAATACGTAGGGCTTTTAGTCATGTCGACACTAAGACGTTTTTGACTTTGTATACAGTGTTCGTTCGTCCTAAACTTGAGTACTGCATACAGGCGGCTAGCCCCTGCTTAAAAAAGACAGTGAGCTTCTGGAAAAGGTTCAGAGAACGGCGACTAAGCTGGTTCCCGCAATAGCGAAGCTTCCGTATGAATCTCGACTGGCCAAGCTGAACCTTTTCCCGTTGTCATATCGCAGAACTAGAGGCGACTTGATTACAGTCTACAAATTGCTTAGTGATAAATTTGCACCTAACATGCCCTCATTTTTCTTGTCTTCCAAAACAGAGAATTTACGAGGACACTCCAAAAAAGTTCATAAGCCGAGAACAAATTACTTGTCAGCTGACTATCGACTTTCCCATCGAATCATCAACGAGTGGAATTCACTACCTCAGCACGTGGTTGAGGCTCCATCCGTCGACTCTTTCAAAAGAAAGTTGGATCAACTGAGAGACCACCATTGCCAGGACTAACATAGGCCATCGAGCCTCCTGTCCTTCCCAAACTGAAACTGAAACCATTGTTCCAATGACTCCATCTCTTAATGTGTCTACCCAAGACATATCGATGGTTTTGTGACAACTGTTCCCAGACAGCAACAATCCTCATTTCCAGTAATAGTCACTTGGTGAATTGGTTAACGCAATATTTTCCATTATTTCAGCTACACGGTTTTCTGAATTTCTGAATAAAGGTTGGAAATGTCTTATGAATTAGATGTTACTCGACATCCCCAGCTTCAAGTCACATTTGAGTTCAGGGATAGTAATACTACTTCTCGTCCACTCAGATCCGAGTGCAGCAAAGTTCGAACCTGACGTGCCAGTTAAAAAACAATTGCTCTATCCACAGGGCCACTGAGTTTCTTAATACTTTACTGTTCTCCAAAGCTACTTTTCGGATGTGAGCTACATCGTAACGCTTTGACTATGAAAAGTCAGATGTTTAACACTATGTTTCTGTTCGAAATCTCTCAGATCCCGGATCAAACAGTAGTTACTTCCTTTGTCACTAGGTTGTGTTTCCGATAATAATGTGACTAGTATGGTCTTGTATTTAAACATTTTAAAATCGAAGCGAGAAACTACTGTTTGTTATTTGTTTGCTCATGGTATCCTAATTACACATTGTTTTATGTACAACTTTCTATATATTCACATTATTGGTTTGTTTGCATGTGGAACATTCTTTGGAACTCATGTCCAACACGTTTTCGTTGACATAAGATGGTTAAATCCAAGTGCAACTATTTCAGTCGTATACTGTTGCTATAGCGTTGTATTTTGAATAATTTCCTGATGTTCTCTTTACTAAGATCTGATCTCTATATACTGTAGTAATGAGAATGAGTTTTCTACCACTCGATAATCGAAGTGTTGTTTTTACTGTCTCAGGTAAGCTAAACGATTAAAGGAAGCTAAAGCTGAGGCTCAGGCAGAAATAGAAGCTGAACGAGCTGAGCGTGAGCATCACTTTAAAATTTGTGAGGGTAAGGTGAGTTGTCTGTGTATGTGATTTTCTGTTTATTCCGTAATGCTAACTTAAAGATATTTAGGTAGATACTTAGTTACGCCTGTTACCCCTCGTGAAGTAGTATAGGCCGCCCACCAGGACTCTGTTGGACCCTGTCCTGGACAATCCCAGTTGCCACTCATCCTTTGATGTCTCCTTTCGATTGCCGACGGTGTGTTTAGTTTTTCTCTTCTGTTTCTCATCAGAACTCCATGTTAGTGCTTGTCTCGTGATGCAGTTTGGTGATTTCCTCAATATATGTCTCATCCGCGTCCAGCGTCTTGACGTTCGTATAGAAGATTCTGATTTAGTTGTTGGTTGACAGCTATTTGAGTCATATATATTTTTCAACTGTAGAAATGCGGCCTCTTCTTTGCTAAAACTTGTCTTCATATCCATACCTAATCCTCCAAGTTCATCGATGTTACTGCCCAGGTACGTGGAAGTTTCGACCTCTTCCAGAGCCTCCCCATCACGTGTGTTTGTGTTGTTCTCTGCGCCATACTTCAGGATCTTGGTTTTTCCCTTGTGTTTTCAAGCCTACTGATGCAGAGGCTGCTGCTACGCTGACTGTCTTCACCAGCACTTGTTGGTGTGTATGGCATGGAAGAGCTAGGTGATATGTGAAGTCCAAATCGTCTAACTGAATCCTTGCTATCCATTGTATTGTGAGCTTCCCGTAAAGCTGATCTTTATCGTCTTCAATGCTTTTGTTGGTGGGTGCATAACACTGGATAACATTCATTGTGATCCCTTCCTTTGTTTTGAAGGGTGTTTTTGGTGATTCTAGATCCATGAGATGCCCATCCTGTAAGTGCATTTTGTGCCTTTTTGGACAGCATCAGAGCAACTTCCTGAGTATGTGTATCATTTTCCTCTTCGTGACCGGAGTACAGCAGTATCTTTTCTGTATCTAATCTTTCTTGTTCAGCTTGGGTCCAATGGGTCTCGCTGATTCTGAGTACAGCCATGCAGTATTTCCCCATTTCCGTTGCTTTTCGACTGGTCCTCCTGGTCTTCTACATTGTCCGGACGTTCCATATATCTATAAAAATTGTTTCTATGGTTGTTAGAAGGGGTATCAGTCTCATGACTTCCGAAGAATCTCAGCTTTCATCATAAGGGGTCGTAGTTATTCCTTCAACTCGGAGGGCAAGGTTTAGATTGTTTATTCTAGTTAGCGTTTTTTTAGCAACGTTTTCTACGGAATGGGGTTGTCGACCCAATGCCCAACCCTCTTTGTTGTGGGCTTGGCGCCGACAGTAGCCCTAGAAGAGCTGCAGGTGAAGTTACTTAGGCAGATAAGATGTATTTTAATGGTAAAATGTCTCACGGATTTAAACTATATTTTAAAATTTTTACTAGGTACTTGGTCGTCGATCAGAAATTGAGTCACAGATTCAAAAGTTAACCCAAGAAATAATCGATACTCAGACTGCCTCAGTGAATCTTCATAAAGAAGACGCCATAAATATGTTGTTGAATTGTGTAATGCAAATTCAGCCACAGCTACACAAAAAACTACCGCAATGGAATAACGGGTTAACTAACAGTATTTGAAATTTGGCGATACACGAATCAGTAATTTTAGACAAAACTGCAAATGCATAATAATTGATCATTTGGTTTCTCTTTATTGTTCCTAATATTTATTATTATCTGCAAATAATCAAACAAATAAATTATTTTTAGAATAATATTTTCTAACTTGTTCGGTGTGTACATGTGTATCCACTGTTTGCATATATTTCCGACTGTACTGATAGATATTAGGATACCCTTAATTTATTTCTTGTTAATAAATTAATACCAGGATATTTTTAGTGTTTGATTGAATGTGGCCACTTACTATATCGGTTTACATTTTTGGATGGTCTGTATCAGTGTCTAGATTAGTTGTTGGGAGTGAAGTAGTTGAGTTGTCTCGGAAGTTTTACGAGTCCTGATGTGTTGGTGTATGTTGAAATCTTCACACGAATTTAGAAAGCTTGGTTTCTTTCTGCCAACTTGCGTCATATGTGGTGTAGAAAAGTTGTTCGCCTCCAAACGAAGTGGTGACTATGCCACTTAGTAGTCTTCCCTAGTTTACTGAGGGATATGGCTTGTGACATTCGGAGACGTAAGTCGCAGGTTTTTTAGTCGAGAAATCACTATCGTATCGTGGGTCAATCGAGGAAGCGATTCTGTGTTTGGGGAGTTGGTGGGTTTTCATCAACTGAAGTAGATGGGACATGTATTGTTTATTCCCAACCAAAGCCTGTCTTGACATGCAATTTTGGTTGGAGTTGGAATAAGCTGGAAGGAAACTAGGGACTACTAAACTAAGGAGTAGTACCGGTGTGTAAAATCATTGACTTTTAGGTTGCTGTGTTGTTAAATTCATTACCTATTTGTATTCCGTGCTATCAGTGATTGGAGACGTTGAGTGAGGTGGCTGCAAATCGATCACTGATACAAATGTAGATGTTTGTCTTCCCCTGAACCTCGGGGTTCAATATTATTCCAGACTTCCTATTTCTAGTATCCACCCCTTCTTTCCGAACAGTGTTCGTCCGTGTCTAGTCTTTCTCACACTACTATTTTTACTCTTGGTATCGCCCTTGTTAATGTCACATCGTGCTGGTGTGATTATGTAATCGTAGTTTTGTGTTGGTTATGGTTGCCTAAGATAATCTAACGAGTCTGAAAACATTCTCTACTTGCCCGGTATTCTGCTGTAGTTCCACAGTCTTGTCGTCTGAAGTTGGTTACCAAGTTTTTATTCTTGAGCCTCGTCCCACCTATTTCACTCAAGACACTGAATAATAACTCGATTCCGCACAAGTAAAGCCCGAAACTATTGGGCAAACCTGTGCTTATTTGTCAAACCATTACTTATAATAATAATAATAATAATAATAATTATTATTATTATTATTATTATTACTACTACTTAGTTTTACTTATTTTCATCCACCTGCATAAAACATGCATGTTTGTTTGTCGGAATACAACGATACCATGGCCACAGTGATCGGTCTCTAACTTCAGGAGTGATATGGTCGATTCAGACGTGAAATTTAAAGTGCTGATCGTAACGTGGAATATTAAACTGCATATGTACAACTAATGGTTTTAGTTTCATGCTATATGAGTGGTTAACAAATCACAAATCAAGCATTAGAGTAGTCCAGTAGGATCAACAGGTTTATGCTAAGGTAATGTCTTCGCAGACATAAACTTATATTAGTATTGCACTCGTCTGTGCAGCGTGGGAAGTTCTTGGTTTAGAGACCAGGTTGAGCCTCTAGGTTGATTACTTATGTACACATTTTATGATTTACTTCAAGTCTTAAAAAAAAGTATAATCGATGTTGAAACATTATACCAGCAAAGGTCAAATAAATCAAATAAGTGAAAACTAAGAATCAAACATCAGAGAAAAAGGATGATAAATGTAGAATAACACTGTTTATTTTCCACTTTATATTGTAGTAGGTACTGAAGTCTTATCTGGTCACTGATTCCAAATCTCCGGTGTAATGTACAACGAGTTTCTGCTTGTTGATGTAAAACAAGATTGTATGGTACATATGTGATAGGTCTCCGTTTTTTTCAAATTATCTAATTGCTCCCTCGAGCGACTCAGTTTGATAGTGACAAATTGATGTCGGCGGGAGAATGTTACAATCCTGTTAGTATTCACCAGTGAATAATCCTCATGATTTACACAAACGTTTTGTACCTTCCTATTTTACATTCCACGAAAAACTTTCTACACGATACGTAAATATACACTAAGAAGGAATATATGTTTATCTTCGTTATTTAGTAGTGTACATTTTTTGGCCTTGACATTACCTAAGCCTGTTACTCCATGAACAGCTACCGCTATCGTGGTTGTGTACAAAACTACCGCTCCTTTTGGTTTACCCACTTGGACTAAGATCATGCCCTTGTTTGGGCTAATCTTACCTTACGCTTCAGTGGTCAACAATTTCATCATCCTAAAACTGGTCGGATCTTCTGTTGAAACTAAATATCAAGTCGAGCTAGGTTCAAGGGTAGCTGCTATCCCACCGAAAACTATAAATGAGCATTGGTTGCAATTGCATGACGCCATGAAAATGGCGAGTAAAGTTGCTTGTGGCTTTGCGACACGTCCCGCTTATAAGCACAGGGTTTCTGTAGGCTCCTAACAGCTCATTGAAGCCCGTTGATCTACTCCGGCTGACCGCGACTTTGACCACAAACGAAGATTGTTACGTAGTGAAATTACGCCAAGATCACATAAGGTGGTCGGAGCGTGCTTACGAGTTAGAAGTAGCAGTTGCATCCACCAGAAGCTCTTTTAGATCATCCGAGTCACTGGCAGACTACTTGGTTGGGGTCCGCGTGACTATCGTAACCAATGGTTGGAGACTCTTGGTGACATGGCTCAGAATCGATCACAATGGCGTCGGTGTATACACTCTCTGTATTCCGTTAAACTAAGAGATTAAAATTGCTTCATATCTTTCTTTCAACGAACTGATTCTTTCTTCCTGTACTATATCCTTATATGAAATCTTTCTTTTATATATTACCACCTCTGACATAACTACTTTTATGAATCCGGTGTCCATCTTGTTGTGTGAATGAGGTATGGCAACTCGGACCGATGCATATATGTGCCTGATCCTACGTTGTAGCTGACTGACTGAGTCACTGGCAGCAAGGAGTCTGGTGCGAGTGAAACAACCCGTGAAGAAGAGATGCCAATCACTAAAATCTACTAACGTCCTGGACAATGGGCAAAGTTTTTCGAGGAGCAGTTCAACTGGTCTGCCCAAGCCATGCGATCCGCACTTAATCAGTTGGCAATCAGTGTCCGTAGGTACTGTATGTGCTTTGCACCTTCGAAGTGCAAAGTTCTTCTACAACACTTGCAGGATTCTAATCCTGTACTCACCCTGGGTGGTGAGGAGATGGAAGTAATCGAGAAGTTCGTATATCTAGGATGCTACATAAGCGCTGGTGGTGGCGTGAATGATGGGATCAATAAAAGTATAGTGAAAGCCAGGGTGGCTTATACCAATCTGGGCCATCTTTGGCGCCTTCGTAATGTCAGTCTGGCCGTAAAAGGTCGGATCTACAACGCGTCGGTGAGAGCAGTTTTGCTCTATTTTTCTGACTCTCCCTCTAAATGCAAGTTGTTGCTTCAGGACTGGCCTGCGTTAACACCTGAACTAAGGATAGGGAGTGAAGTGATCGAACGCGTCGACAACTTCACTTATCTTGGAAGTCTGATCAGCCCTAATGGGCTGGTATCGGACGAAATCTCAGCACGGATTCGAAAAGCTCGTTTGGCTTTTGCCAACTTACGTCACCTTTGGCGAAAACGAGATATCTGTCCATCAATAAAAGGACGAGTATACTGCGCGGCAGTCCGTTCTGTCTTACTTTACGGCAGCGAAACATGGCCTTTAAGTGTAGAAAATACTCGTAAGATACTAGTATTTGACCACAGATGCCTCAGAAATATTGCTCGCATCTACTGGGGTCACCGACTAAGTAATAGTGAAGTTAGATGCAGGGTATTTGGGAATGATGGTAAATCATTTGATGAGGTTGTTAATCTTCATCGACTGAGATGGTTGGGCCATGTGTTACGTATGCCTGAACACCGATTACCACGACGTGCAATGCTAACCGGTGCTGGAGATGGTTGGAAGAAAGTTAGGGGCGGCCAAACCAAAACGTGGTATCGGTGCTTGAAGTCACTAACTTCTAGTCTGAGCCATGTTGGTAGATGCAGACTACCTGGTTGTGGTCCGCGTGACTATCGTAACCGATGGTTGGAGACTCTTGGTGACATGGCTCAAAATCGATCACAATGGCGTCGGTGCATACACTCCTTGTCTTCCGTTAAACTAAGAGATTAAAATCACTTCATATCTTTCTTTCTACTAACCAATTCTTTCTTCCTGTACTATATCCTTATATGCAATCTTTCTCCTATATATTACCACCTTTGACCTAACCACTCCTATGAATCCGGTGTTCATCTTGCTGTGCTAATGAGGTATGGCAACCTGGACCGATGCATATATGTGCCTGATCCTACGTTATAGCTGACTGACTGACTGACTATGTTTCTGAAACCTGGCCTCTCCGAGTTGAGGATGTTAGACGACCCTGTGTTTGATCATCGTTGTCTCCGAAAGGTTGTTGACATCCAGTGGCAACACCATGTCAGTAATGCAGAGGTTCGGCATCGTGTGTTCGGGCACAGCGACGATAATTAAACTACTGTCGCTATCTTGAAACACCGACTTCGGTGACTTGGACATGTTCTATGAATGCCGTCCCAGAGAATTCCACGTCGTGCATTATTTGCTGACTCTGGGACTGGTTGGAAAAAGCGGAGAGGTGGTCAGTATATGACATGGTGTCTTGCATGAAAGAAAGCTGCAAAGGACTGGCTTCTGTTGGTCCTTCACGACTCCCTGGCTGGGGTCCTAGAGGCGGTGCAACACAGTGGCTAGAGACGTTATCAGACATGGCTCAGGATAGAAGACATTAGAGACCCTTCTGTAACTCTCGTCATAAAAATGGACGTAACTTCTTTAACTTGAATAATTTCTGGTTATATTTTTACTAACTGCACTGCTTCTCCCTCTACTATTATTATTTCACTCTCAAAAACTAATTTCTGTTCGTTGTTGTTCTTCTCTCGTTATGTGCCCTTTACATTCCCTATCTCTTCACATTCTCATTGTTGTCGTGTAACGCATGTGTATTTGGTGCCCCCTTGTACCAATATTTGTGTTCAAATAAACAAATTTAGTGTATGGGTCACCAACCAGGTATCTCCAAGCAACTCTGTCCTTGCCTCTTCTTTCTAGTTGCAACCGAGTGCAACTCATCCTTTTGATATCCACCTACGATTCCCTGCACTTTGTGTTTCATAGTCAACCTCTTTTCCTTTTACTCTGAGTATCCAAGGTTTGGGGCTTAATCTATAATTCAGGTTAATGGTCTCTGCAAAGCGTGTTCTATCCACTCTCGATCTCCTTCTCAGCCGGGAGCTGGTTTGTTCCCTGCCGTAGTTGGTTGTTGCTGATTTCTAGCCAATGGATCTGCAGTATCTTGCATAATCAGATATTTGTAAATACCTGTACTCTTGGTTATGGTTGTGACAGTTTTCCAAGTTTCAACTCCGTGGAATAGAACTTTGTTGACGTTAGTGTTGAAAATTCGGATTTTAGTCTTACTTATCAGTTCTTAGTTCCAGATATTCTTCCGTGTTAGGTGTGTTTTCTTTGCTTTGCCAGTTCGTGTCTTGATGTTTACATCAGATCCGCCTTGCCTGCCAATGATTTTGCTGAAGCACCTCCCTCTCGAAATGCTCTCACACGGCCACGCGTATACAGCCTCTGCCAGGGAAGTCCTACTCACTGCCTTCTCGTGGCGGGGGTGTTGTTTACGAAATTGAGAGGACGAAAAGCTAATGTCCGGCGTTTTAACCGGATTCCAAACCGATGGTGCACATGGGTCCAGTATCCTGAGGGAACAAATGGCGTATGAACCAATTGTTGGTCACCGGCTTCGATTGGACTGCATCTCCTCACGATGCTCCACTGCCTTGTGGGTCAGACCTTTAGGTCAAAGGCTCAGGGTGTGGCTCCCCAAGAAAACCACCTGCTTCGGTCTGGGAACCCGGGCAGTATCCCAGCCCGCACACAAATCGAACGGTTTATGTGGCGCATATCTACTTGGTGCCTCCTTGTACCAATGTTTACGTGTTTAAATAAATGTCCACTGTATTTCGTACTTGAGATTTGGAGGCCTTCATCATCCAATCAACAGCCAGAAGAAACAGGAAAGGTGACAGTAGGCATCCTTGTCAGACACTGGTCTTCACATGGAATGCATCTGTGATCTGTTCTCTATGCGTGACTTAACGATTCAGCCCGCCGTTATAGTTCCATGTGTTAGTGACATTCTCAGGTACTCCGTTTTGTCGAAGATGACTCACAGGATTTTGCTATTCGAACTGTCTAGTGCCTTCTCATGACCAATAAAGCTAATGAATAATGATTCCCATTCCCTTGATTGCTCAACACTGATCCACAGTGTCACACTTTGGTCGGCGCATCGTCCATCCTTACGAAAGCCAGCTTGTTGATCTCGAAATTGGGCGTCTGAAAACTCCTTTGAAAACAAATGTTAGATTAGAACTTCATTAGTTCTCCATCCCATAAGTGCTTTTTGCGCTTTGGAGAGTTGCAATCCAACTTCTTGTGTGTGTGGGGGATTTTCAACCTCATGGATACAACAGCATCTTTTTCGAAGCCGTCCTATTTTGTTCTGATAGTATCCATCAGGTTTCATTCGTTCCGAGTACCACCAGGTTATATTTTCTCATTCCCGTTAATATTTGAATGGTCCTTCTGGTCTTCTACATTGTCCGGACATTCCATGGATCCATATTAATAATTGCTCTGGTTGTCAGAATGTGTATTGGCGTCATGATTTCGGAAGAATTTCGGCTTTCGTCATTAGGCGTTGTAATTATTCTAGATGAAGACCCTTGAGCTCCGTGGAGAGAGTTTAATTGGTTAGAATGATTTTTTTGTTAGCGCTCTTTGGCGGGGTTGTCTTTCATATGGTGAAGTTGCCAACTACTCACTCAACCCTCCAACTACGCTTGGAACTAGCAGTAATCCTAGAGGGGCTCTAGTTGGAGTTGGCTTTAAACTTATTAAACACTCAGTTTTTTATTAAATATGCACTTATGTAGTAGTTTTGGATATTATTACATTATATGCATACATTTTTTGAATATTATGAACACTGGTAGACTACAGAATTTTTGGTAAACCGAGCTAAATCATATGGGAAATGTAGTCAAGTAAACATTATAGTTATGACGAATGCTAACTTAAAGCAAATACTAAGTGGTCGTATGCGTGTTTTCAGTTGATTCTCAGTAAAAGTGTCCAGACTCCACAAATTTACAACTTCGAACGTGTAATTCCAAGCATAACATCTAGGCGCTTGCGTTAAAAATTTGGATCGAGAAACCAAATGGTAAAAATAGCAACATAATTACTTATGGCCTAACAAATGGTTGGAGTTATAATTTAGAGAGCGAAATGAGTTGTAAAACACGAAGTATGCTGTTCGATAATCAGTCAATGAAGTGTATTCTCACCTAGAAAATATTATAGTTTAAATAAACTGTTTTACAATCAACAAGAAATTGAATAAGATCTAAGAGATATGAAGGTTAACTAAATTTACTTGCAAATGAAGATTTACTAAGTATCTCCATGGGTCGAATGTGAAATTTTTCATAATAGTAAGATGAATGTAGATTATTTTACCATTCTTGTTTATTATTGCCTTTGTCGTTTGTTTCTACCTTTTGAATCACTCTTTCCAATGTTCACTTTATTTCTACTCATTCGACAGCAACCTAAACTTATATAAAATAGTGGTATGTCTACCTTTAATCTAGTCTGATATTGCTTATGTTCCAGCCTTTAAATAAGCCAAACAACCAAGTTCTGTGTTTTAACCATCTTAGAATGATGAAATGATCTACTGATTAACATGAGTGTTATGTAAGTTCCAGTGTTGATACATTGTGTAATTCTAATGTAACCTGAGATTTTCCATATACTCCTCATTATCTGACTTGTAATTATCTTTTTTTCAATCTTTCTGCCTCATGCCGTATTATATATTTAACAATTTACTTGTTAATTTCTAGGAATACAAAGCTGAATTGCATTATAGGTGTACAAAAATTGCACAAGAAATATCTAATAAAGAGCAATGTGAAGTCAATATGGATATAATTTGCTTAATGACTGAATTGATCTTCCGTTTTCACCAAATTCTTGCCACAGATCTAGAAACATTTAGTCGGCATGCAAAACGTTCAACAGTAACTGTGGATGATGTCTTTTGTTTCGTCCGAAGAAATCCTCAACTGGTAATTAGTGAATTAGTTTTATTTTCTTGTCCATTACAACAGTATAGAACAAATAAAACGATAAATGTTAAATAGTTTATGTTTTATTTGTTCATTTTCATTGTGACAAAGATAATGCTTCGTTACTCTATTTTCTCCACCCAAATAGCAAATCAAATCAATGTATTAACTTCACAACTTTTAGATTTAATTTTTCTTATTCCTACTACTTTCCACCGCAAAATGATAGAAAATGGAATTACATCAGCAATATGGAACATGTAGCAAAATTTACACAGTGAAGTAAATTCATTTTATGATATAGCTTCTCTCCAACTACAATAAGCTAAAAGTATGCATGAAATTGATGGCAATTGCAGCACACGGCGGTCGTTACCTACAATAAGTAGAAATTGGTGTGTCGTAATGAACTGAAAAAGGCAGAGAAAAATGTTGCTAATACGATCAATGATAATGTGTGAAGCTATGGCTTAGTGACTAAAGGTTTCAACTTTTGAATAATAAGTCACATGGGTTATCCTAGCTCCTGAACAGACCTTTTTTATTTATTCAAATTGAGTCACGTTTTAACCTTGTCAATTATTCGCTTATTAACCTTGACTACTTTTATATGAGGGTATGTGTGTATACTCCTTACTCCATTCATCGTATCAGTCAGTCATCTACAACGTAGGATCAGGCACATAAATGCATCAGTCCAAGTTGCCATACCGCATTAGCACAACAAGATAAACACCGAATTCATAGAAGTAGTTAATCCAGTGGTGATAATATATAAATAAAAGAAAGATTGCATATAAGGGTATGGTACAGGAAGAAAGAATTAGTTAGTAGAAAGAAAGGTATAAAGTAATTTTATTCTCACCGTTTAAGGGAAAACAAACAGTACATATACCTACACCATTGTGATCGATTCTGAGCCATGTCACCCAGAGTCTGCAACCATTAGTTACTATAGTCACGCGGAACACAATCAAATGGTCTTCATCTATTAACATGGCTCAGACTAGAAGTTAGTGACTTCAAGCACCGATACCACGTTTTGGTTTGGCTGCCCCTAACTTCCTTCCAACCATATCTAACACTAGTCAGCATTGTGCGTTGTAGTAATCGGTGTTCAGGTATACGTAACACATGGCCTAACCATCTCAGTCGATGAAGATTAACAACCTCATCAACTGATTTACCATCATTCCCAAATACCCTGCATCTAACTTCACTATTACTTAGTCGGTGACCCCAGTAGATGCGAGCAATATTTCTGAGGCATCTGTGGTCAAATACTAGTATCTTACGAGTATTTTCTACACTTAAAGGCCATGTTTCGCAGCCGTAAAGTAGAACAGAACGAGCTGCCGCGCAGTTAGAGGGGGAGAAGCGCACTCCAAACATCCTGGCATTGTTGCTCAGTGCTACCAAAAGACTCTGCATTTTATCAGCATCTTCACCAAACAGGACTATGTCATCTGCGTATTCTAAGTCGATAAGTGGACCTCCTGGTAGGAGAATAATGCCCGAAAATTCAGTCTACCAGAATGTTATTTCCATCAATAGGTCTATGATGAAGTTAAACAAAAATGGAGAAAGTGGACAGCCTTGACGGACACCACTTGAGGTTTCAAAAGCAGATGACAGTTCGCCATAAGCTCTGACTCGATTAGTGATGTTCGAGTAAAGATCCTTCACAAGGTTTATGTACTTCTGAGGTACACCTTTCAATGACAAACTGACACAGAATCTCTCGGTCTACGGAGTCAAATGCTTTTAAGTCAAAAAAGACCATCATTGTCGGACGCCGATAAGTATGCCTATGTTCTAAAACCTGACGAATGGTGAATATATGGTCGATGCGGCCGTGACCAGGTCTGAAGCCAGTCTGATTTTCTCGTGTTTGCAGTTCACGATAATTATTGAGGCTTGTATTTTAGATGGTATGTTAGTCAAACTAATCCCTCTATGGTTATCAAAGGATGATTTGAATCCTTTCTTATATATTGGGACAATCAGTGATTGTGACCAGTCATATGGGATTACGTCTGGTTGCCAGTTTCTAGCTAAAATATTAGTCAACCTAATCGCTAAAATTGGAGCCAATCCATCTAGAACAGCTGCTCTTCTTCCTTTCAGACTCAGTCAGTCAGTAACAACGTAGAACTTCGTACGTATGTACATCAGTTCGAGTTGCCATACCACATTAGCACAGAGATGCAGTTGTCCATTCAAATCCCGTAGTGGTAGAGGTAGTAAGAGTATAAACAGTAATCGGAAAGATTAGGGTTTGGAGGTGTTATTTAAAGAGTATAATACAGTGAAATAAACTTGAGAGGAGAAAAAGAAAGAGACAAGAAGGAATAAGAAGATCAAAATTTGGGAGAACACAAAGAGTGTATGCACCTGCGCCATTGCAAACAATTTTGAGCCATGTCATTCAAGGTCTCTAACCATCGGTTGCTATCATCTCGCAGTCCCCAACCAGATAGTCTACACCTACCAACATGACTCAGTCCACTTGTCAGTGACTTCATGCACTTGTGCCATGTTTCGGTCTGGCCGCCCCTAGCTTTCTTCCAACCTACTCCTATAACACTGACTATCGCACGTCGAGGCAGTCGGTCGTTGGGCATACGTAACACGTGTCCCAGCCATCTCAACTGATGAAGTTTCACTGTCATCAATTGATTTGCCATCCCTGCCTAGTACCCGTTTCCTAACAACTGCGTTACTTACTCGATGGTCCCAGAATATACGAGCAATATTTCGAAGACACCTATGATCAAATACTAGTAACCTACGAATATCCTCTACTCTTACCGGCCATGTTTCACTGCCATAAAGTAGGACGGAACGAACTGCTGCGCAGTAAACACGTCCTTTGGTTGATAGACGGATATCTCGCCTACGCCATAAATGACGCAAGTTGGCAAAAGCTAGTCGAGCCTTCTGTATCCGTGCTGAGATTTCGTCACACACCAGACCACAAGGGCTGATGAGACTTCCAAATAAGTGAAGCGGTCGACACGCTCAATTACTTCACTCCCTATCATTAGTTCGGGTGTCAATGCAACCCAATCCTGAAGCAACATTTTGCATTTCGAGGGAGAGAATCGCATCCCGAACATGCTTGCATTGTTGCTTAGAGTGGTCAGAAGACTCTGCATTTTGTCAGCGTCTTCACCAAATAGAACTATGTCATCAGCATATTCTAAGTCAACAAGTGAACCTCCTGGTAGAAGTTCAACCCCTGGAAATTTAGATGAGGAAAGTGTTATCTCTAAAAGTACGTCAACGACAAAGTTGAACAAGAATGGAGAGAGTGGACAGCCCTGACGAACACCACTTGAGGTAATCAATTCTGATGACAGTTCGCCATAAGCTCTCACTCGACCAGTTGTGTTCGAGTAGAGAGCCTTTATAAGGTTAATGTACTTCTTTGGTACTCCTTTCAGTGACAAACACTGCCATAGAACCTCACGATCAACAGAGTCGAATGCCGCCTTAAGGTCGAGAAATACTACCATTGTGGGGCGTCTGAATGTGTGTCTGTGTTCTAGAACCTGACGTAGTGTGAATATCTGATCTATACAACCACGTCCAAGTCTCTTCTTCACGAGCTTTGGTTAGGCGTCGAAGTATTATTGAAGCTAATATTTTAGACACTATATTAGTCAAACTGATTCCTCTGTGATTGTCACAAGAGGACTTTTGTCCTTTCTTATAGACTGGCACAATCAGTGATTGAGACCAGTCAGATGGGATTACGTCCAGTTCCCAAATTCTACCTAAGACCTCAGTTAATCTCACTGCTAATACTGGACCACCATCCTTAAAAATCTCAGGAGTAAACCTGTCAGGGCCTGCTGCTCTCCCTCGCTTCAGATTTCCTATGGCTTTTTCAACTTCGTAAGGAGACGGAGGACCTACATTAACTTGCCATTCAGGTTGACTGGAGATCGTGGGAAACCGAAGTGTGGCTGAAGGCCAGTTGAACTGATCCCTAAAGTGTTCTGCCCATCGATCCAATCTCCTGGATTGAGAATGAATAATATGTCCATCTTTTTCCGAGATAGATTCGCCTACAGTTGGGTTCCTAATACCGGTTTCCTTAACAAGTCTGAATAGTTGTCTGCTGTTGCCTATTGCCGCTGCCTTTTCCATCTCTCTTGCTTTCGCTACTCACCACTAGTCGCGATCATTGCGTAGGCTTCTTGTCAGCTTGCGCTTAAGCTGACTACGCTCTTCGTTATATTCAGTGCCAGATGGAATGAGTTTTCGAGCATCTATCTGTGTGGTAGATGCTGTTGAGATCCAGTGCTTCTCCCTAACTGCTGTTTCCACAGTTTTTCAGATGTCATTCCATGCTGCCTCGGGGCGGACATCACATACATGGCTGCCTAACTGTTTTTCTAGTTGTTCCTGAAATATATTCTTAGCTTGGCTACCTTTAAGTAGGACCTTAAGAGGTTTCCTTGCAGCGTCTTTCCTACGTCCACTAAGACGCAGGCAAATACGCGCTCGCACTAGAGCATGATCTGAATCTAAGCATGTTTTCCAGAATGAACGACAGTCTCCTATGGAGCACCTCCAACGGTGGCTGATAGCGATATGATCTATTTGGGTCCAACGTTGGGACGAATTGGGGGGTCGCCATGTTAAAAGATGTTTTCCCTTATGCCTAAAGTTAGTATTTGCAAGAAAGAGGCGATTTTCTGAGCATAGCTGCAGCAGACGCTCGCCATTATCTGTTCTTTGAGCCACGACACCATAAGATCCACCCAGGTGTCTTTCCCTTCCGCTTAGTTTACCTACTTGAGCATTAAATTCACCAGCCACTATTACTACATCAGAGCGCCTAGCTTTTTGGAGAAGGTCGGGAAGCTTTCTGTAAAACTCATCTTTTACATCATCTGAACTGCAGTCAGTGGGAGAGTAGGCAGAAACGACAAAGAGGCAACGACGAGTGTCTCTATCTTTCCGAGTCCTTATTGTTCTGTTTAGTAGGACAGCGCACAAACGACTGTCTACTGGGATCCAGTCTAAGAGAGCTAGTTCTGCCCTAGGACTCAACGCTATACCTACACCGGCGAATCCACGAAAATTAGCATCTGGTCTTCTAGACACACGAAGTGGGAATCGAGTTGGTTCTTTGTTTTTGACATGGTGATGTCAAATGAATGACGTTACTCGGATCCTGGAAGCGCGTTTCGGAGACGCAGCACACATCGATGGCACGAAATTCTAAAGTCCTAGCTAAGGAAGCCTGTTGTATTATTTGACAGTGTTCGGACGTTGAGAGCTCCTACGTGTAGTTTAGAGCGTGGTTTCAGGAGACCAAGAATAACGTTCCGCGTAGTCGAATCGTTTGCCCTAGCGGTGCAAGGCGATAAAAGGACGTGAGAGGGGTTAGTCGGGGAGATAAGAGTGGTATTAGAAGGTGTAGGAAGGATTTGAATGTGACCAACTTGGTTTCGTGCGCTTTCAGATTGGCTATAGCTTATTTCTGTCTGACCATAAATATTGAGTCACTGTAATATTTTGAAGTATAAGAACTAGGGATCCCATATATAACGCAATTAAGGTCAAATAGAACTAAGTGAGCACAAACGAACGTATTGTATTTGGAATTCGAAATCAGGCCCACATCAAGTACAAAAGAATCATTAACTCATACAAGCACCACAGTTGTGGGGAATAATGTAACATCATGTGTTATGTTAAACCCATATAGTTTACTCTAGCTTCCGAACAAGTCAATCTATTCATTCTTCTTGAACCACATTTTGACCTCATTCTGTTTTTTCGTGTAAACGTATGTGTGTGCATATCTTATCCTACTCATTACGCCTGTAGCTTATTTTTATCTGTCTATAAATATTGATTAACGCTTGATTAAATTGAGTTGGCACACTTGCCTTCTCCAACCTGCTTCTCCCTGATTACCTGTTCAAATAAATGAGTTCATGAAATATACATATTCAAAATTCATTCTCGTATTTGGCGTATTTAATTCCGTTATTCCCCATCGCGGATTAAGTCGATGATTATATATGTGGATATATGACATGTGTACTTCAATAACAATCGTTCATACGATCGACCTCGATTCAGATATCGGGCCTCTATACAGTCGCACTTGAGGAAGTTCAGTTGGCTCATTCTCCTAAGCTTCGCTTCCCCGCTTTTCATTCTGAATATCTGTCTGGATCAACGAGCGTATTATATATACGCATCCGAAATTCATTTCCTTATTTGACTTATTTTATTCCGCTATTCACTAATGCGAATTAAGTCGACAATTATATACGAGGGTATCGGGGCTGTATATTTCGTTAACATCATCATATGATATAATTGAAATCAGATAAACGTACCAACAAACAACCTGGATCTCACTGACCTCATAATTTAAAAAATCCCTTGTGACAGTTTTCTAGATTTCTATCGTCTTGATATATTTTCTTGGATATATACATGTACCAGATACAATTGAAAGTAAGTCAGACCGTGTTCCCATTCTTTGTTGACTGTGAGATAGAACATATATTATTGTACTCAATATGTAACTTATTGCCTAAAAAGAATGTGGGAACACTTGACATGTTCTGAAGCTTCATCTGATTCAAACTGCTGATCAAATAAATAATGTTTTTTAAATAAGATTATTTTCAATATATGTATTGGTTAACAGCGTCAATGAAAGATCCAACTGGCAATCTTGACGTACAATCGAAATATAACTAAATGCAGATTTATGATTGAGTTCATCTTTTTCTACTACAAGGAATTCAGGTAGGTTATGAGTACTCATGTAATTGGGATGACTCCGTCAGAAAACTAGTGAGGCTTCATTAGATGAATCATAATTCAAAGCTAGGATATAAACAAAAACGGTTGACTAACTGGTATACTTTTAGAGTTGTATCTACTGCTATATTATGCGAAGCTAACGGACTTCCATCTTTGTTTATGATTTTATTGGCCGTAGCATTTTTCAAGAAGCCTCATGATTTAATGCATAATACGGTCATTTATATTATCTCACTCCCTAATCCTCATCAACTTAATTTGTCTTTGGAGTATAAAAATTAAAGTATGGACAATAAATTACTCTTCTGATGCTTCTCTGTTACCTGAATGATATCAATATATTCTGTTTAAATACTGATATTGATATGTGTGGTAGTGAAATTAAAATATGATTAATCAGTGTGTGGGCAAACAGGCATTCAGCCTACTTGCTTAGGTAAGTACGCTAGTCTTATTATCATGGTATACTTGAGAGCGAGGTAAATATTTTAAACATCCGTTATATCAGATATATGCTCTACTTTTTCAAACCATTTCATTGTATCATTGTTTTGAAAGCTCTTCTATTTGTATTATTGTGCATTTTTGTCAATTTCTTATAGTTACAACATTTAACGGATTACCACAAAAATCAGATTAGGAATAGTAAACAAGAATCTGATTTGTCAAGCGAAACTTTCAAAACAAAACCAAAGCTTAAAGCTGCTAAGAAAAAATCTAACTTAAATAAGATTGGCTTTAATGAAACCAATAAACCGGACGAAGCAGTGCAAACTTTATAACGATATAATCACGATGTCTATTGTTTCTAAAATTGTGATTGTCATACAGTGTAGATAATTTTTTAATATTAAAAAGGTAGATAAATAATATTAACTTCTTTTCTGACTAGATTTGTTAGTTCTAAGAGTGTAAGTGAAACTTACAATATTAGTCTGATGGTTGTTTCTAAGTTTATTCATTTTACTTCACAACTGTTGTTGAAAGTTTCAGTGACTGTATGTCAATATCGAGGTGATCCGTTCGGGATGCATATCTACCAAACGAGACTAATCATTTGTGATCCTTAACATCAACAACGGGAAAATACAAACAGTAAACTTCACACAACTTGTAAAACGTAGTGTTACAACTTGTGGCCTGTGTGTCATGTTAATGTATAACGTAACGATACCGCCAATTAGAAAGCAGTGAATTATCGATCGGACCAATGACGCATAAAACCAGTATGAGCAGTCTAGAGTCCTTATCGGTCCCGCTTCCCGCCTAGCCCAAACTGTTAAGTTCAGAACACCAATCTTAGCCTCTGCGATATGAATCATATATTTCAAACATACTGGGTTTATATACCAACCAAACAGACTACATCGTACCAATGAAATAGGAAACAACATTTGTACAAGATTTGCCCAAATGTGGCTGTGAATAAGGGAGGTAGTAATTAATAGGCAGGGAATAATTCAAGAATGGGAAATCGTATAATAACAGTTCATAGGTTGAACTAAAGCTTATGATAAGAGAGACATCAATATGAAGTTTGGTTAATGAAAAATTATACGATAAAAATATACATTTAGTATTGGTCCACAAATGGATCCCAAAAATTACCATTCATTATTCTTATCGGGACATAACACGTAGTGGCTATCTGAACTCAGTAGCCCAGTGGCTAATGTGTTGAGCGTTTAAAGTGAAAGGTTCTGGGTTCGAGTATCGGTGTAGATAATAGAAATGAGATGGGAATTCATCCACAGGAAGAGTCCTAAATAGAGAAAACACGCGCTTTGAACTCCACCGTTAAACACAATCAAGCTTTACTAAAAAAATGTAGTCATGAGTTTGGAGAAATGTACCCAACGGAAGCATTTTAAACCTAGGTCTGTTAACAATTACGATTTGATTTGCTTCAATACCTCAGCCATTTCTTGAAATTAAGAAAAAGCTCCTCATGAAATGGCGCCTATTTCCATTTCATGAGTTCATCAGTAATATTTATTTAGTTTTGTCTGATGTATTCGTATTCTTCTACCCAGGAATTACCCATCATTGACATTGGAAGTTAACTGATTAGTATCGCGGATTAATTGAGGTTAAATGCCTGTGACATCGGATTGCTGGATTAGTGGTCTAGAGACTAACTCTCGCTGAAAAAGTTGAAAGTCTTGTGTTCAGTTTTCGGTGGAGTCATACTTAAGGACTGCTGAGGAGTTCTATGCTGTGACTAAACGGGGCTGGTCTAAAGTATACAGTTGAACCAACGTGGAACGATAAAAATCACCAAGTGATTATCGAAACGGTTAGGGTTTTCATCATGAACTGATGTCGACTGTAATACAAGAGTTTTAAAATCATATCTCAATTCCTAGCATAATGATTCATCCACTTTCTCTGTCTCCTGACTGGGTAAGACGGTTCACACCTTAAGATCGTTCGGTTGTATACTTCATGCCTATCCAGAATAGCTATCCAGTGCTTTTTGGTTCTTAATAGTTGTCTAAAATCAGTTTGTGTGAAGTTCAGAGACATAAGATAAATTGTGTGATAATTTTAGAGGTAGTGAAGGGTTTGCACAAGATTCCTGGATTTTAAAAAAAACTGGTAAGATGGGTTGTAAAGTAATTGAACAGGATTTGAAGAGTTCACATAAATTAAGAGAATTGAGTGAGTGGAAATGTATAAGTGAAAGGGTGGTTTAAATGTACATAAAATAAGAATTTGGTAAGGGAAGAACACATAACAAAATGATAAAAAATGATTTACCAGGGTAGTAATATGTTTATTACTGTTTCTTTTTGAATACATATATCAGGTTCTAGTTTTTTTATCGCGATTGCTTTAGTGAACCGAAGGGAAGCAGTATTTCTTTGTCTGCTAAACATTTTGGAAGCTTGAGGAATGTTAATAGTGTGCCCAGTGTCAAGTAAATCCCAAGTTATTGCATTATTGAGAGCCCTTGCCCATCGCAGTCTCAAGTTCTTTGGAACATTCTCGGGAATACGAACATGTACTCTTCTCCCAGTTCTTCCAATGTATGTACTTTGGCACGTACAGGTAAGTTGGTGAATTGCAGTTGGAGCTACTGAGTAAAGGGGACCAGACAATTTTAGTTTGTTTGAGCGGGCAGTTTGTTTCCTATACCGTCGTCAGTTTTGCTGATGAGTAAGTCACCTTCAACGTGGGATTTATCCTGTGATTAATTATTCCATTGATTTCATCTCCTTTGAAGCTGAAATATAAGAAGCAGGTTTTCTTTTCAATTGTATCGTATTTAGCTCGAGGGTTGGTTTCGGCATATTTCTGGATGAACTTCGCCAGGTATGCATTTTCACATAGACAATTTGTAATGAGAGGAACTTCATCTTCCAGGCATTCCTTTGAGCAAATTCTGTATGCGTGGTCAAAAAGGGTTCATACCATACCCATTTTGTAACTCATTGGACAGAAACTATCATCATTGAGATAAACTCCACTCCAGGTATTTTTGCGGTCAATGTGTCTTTGTAATGTGCCGTCTGACATTCGTCTGATTCCAATATCTAAGAAATGGAATTTAATTTCTACTTTGTGTTCCATAGTAAAATCTATATCTTTGTGTGCTTTGTTAAACAGATTGAGTAGGTTCATGGAATGCCTATGATTGTTGCAGACGATAAATGTGTCATCAGTATGTCTACAATAGAGTGTAATTCCATAGATTGCATGCTTGAGCTTCCTCTGTTCCAGGTTTCCCACAAATATATCGGCTAGAATTGGACCCAAAGGGCTACCCCATCAATTTGGCAGTACAAGACATTGTTAAATTGAAATTGCATGTTTTGTATATAGAAGCAGGAGGTGTCTGAATTAATTTATTGGCAAAGACAGAAGTTCAGGATTTTTGTAAGCAATGGTCGACATTGGCCAGCAGTGAAATCCAGGACGCGCGTTCCGTCCTATTTGGGACTCGTCAGCTGGATGTACCTACATCACTCTGGGACTCGAACCCAGTACCATTCGCTTCAAACGCCATCGTGTTATTCACTTAGCTACTGAGTCCTGATAGCCACTTGCTTGTGCAATGGGGTGAATTTCAATTTACTTGGTATTATTTGGCTTGTATCTTCCCATTGAGGTTTAAGACTGCAATTGATCAGTCTGTTATCGGCATATGTGCATACTGTGCGTATGCCTCGATATTGCCTTAATTCACAAGCTTTTTGCAAGCAATGATGGATAGTGGCTATCAATGAACAATTGCAGTCTTAAACCTCAATGGGAAGATACAAGCCAAATAATACCAAGTGAATTAGAAGTTGAGGATATTCATATTCTGCTATTTCTTCCAAAAGGATCTCTGTGAAGAGTGATGAGACATCAAGCGAGATCATGAATTTGTCGGAAGCATTTAGGCTATCAAGCTTTTGTACAAATTCAAAACTATCCTTCAGACTGTAGGGTTTCTTACGGATTGGTTCTAAGCACCTTGTCAACCAATCGGTACTTCTGACTGTCCACATCGTGGAAACGAATCTTCGTGAAAAACTGGAAGCAAACGATGGTTCTGTTAGTCTTTAAACCTGACTCTAGTGTCTGAGGAACACAAACTTGATACCAATCACACACGACAAGTCTATCGGCAGTTGATTTTGTAAACTTTGCTACTGATATTGGAGATCCGTAGTGCAACAGAACATGCGCTTCTTTTAAAGTTTATTTTCACTTGCTGAATTCTGTGTGCTAAGAAGTTAACGTCCTTTGCAGTGCTAGTTATCCGACAGGAAAACTCTACTCACACCCATTCTGTTTAAGTCGACAGTACACTTTTATTTTTTAGATATATTACTTTATCGGTTTGATATTTTAATAGGTAATAAGTTGTTAATATATTCTTCATTAAACTCAAGTGTAGACAATGGTATCATCAATTGTAGCTTAACATTTAGTATTTACGTTAATTATAAATGAAATTACCAGCGATTTTATCTAGCGAGGATTTTGAATGTATGCATTCAAAAATACCGTCTTATCTAAGTACAGTGTAGTAGTATATTATTTTTCTAACTAGTGTTCAGTATACTTCTAACCAAATATTTATCATTTTTTATGATTGGTTCGTCTGGTGAACCGATATTTAAGTTATTCAATTACTTCACCTACTTTTAGTTCATTAACTACTTAGCTGTTAATCGATGACCCCTCATAAATGATAAGTAGTTTATTCTGTTATCTTAACTGGTATTCGTATATAAAATAATTCCATATTTTCAGTCAGAACTCTATATAGTTGGAACAAGTATATATGCATGTATTTAATCAAATTATATATCTATTCCATTTACAATGATAATATCAAAATTATTCAGGATATATGTACCTATCAATACTGATTTAATTTTATCAGATACCAAGTATTATCAATGATTGTAGATAATTGTTACATAATATTACGAATTCACTGAAGTTGAGGATGAGTGCTACTGTGTCCTGAAAATGGTCTAAAAAAGACATGCTTCCTATGAAACTTGAAGGTCTTGCGTTTGATTCGGCGTATGTGAACTACTAAGGAGTTCAAACTAGAGAGGGAAACGCTGTTCATTGAGCTACCTGGTTTTTACTGGGTACTTCGGCTGGTTTTAGCCCTTGATCTGCAAACTGAGCTTATCTCTGCGAAACATCCACTTCAACTATATATCTGTCCCACTCGCAATATGTGAATTGCAAGAGGTACCTTCATAACCTCCCTCAGTTAAACAACATTGAGTGGGGCATTAATACGAACACATTAAGAGAACCACTATATTAA